ATAATATCTCTAAAATCTTGAAATGGTCATCCACGTTAGAGCAGGAGATGAACATGAAAGAACCCAACAATTGAGTCTTGTGAGGCCTTTCGAGTTTCAAGGACCAGAGCGACCCTCGTGATGGAGGACTCAGAAACATGCCAAAAAATTGAAGAGCGCACCAAGAGAGAACATAGTATTCACGTTCAAGAAAATTTCACCAATTTGATGAGATTGTCACAAGTATTTATTTTTTATACTAACTCAAAGAATCCTTTAGTTTCAAAAGTCTCAAAAAATTTCCTAACTTGAATAACGGGTAATTTTGACTCTTGAAAAGTTTCAAAACACTTACAAAGTTTTAATTGGATACCTTAAAACTTTTGGAGACATATAAAAAATCTTAAGAAGTATCAATTGAATGCATGTAAACTTTGTGGACAATAATACTAAGGAGCCAACTGTTGGCTCCATTATGGAACCAACAACCAATGGGATAGCTCCATGTGGGGCTGTTCCACATGGCTCAATGTGGGACAGCCCCACATGGAGCTGTCCCATTGGTTGTTGGTTCCATAACGGAGTAAAGAGTTGACTCTTTAGCATTAGTGACTTTGTGAAAATCTAAAAATGTTTCCGTTGAATACTCTCAAATTTCAAAAGATTTAAAAAGCCACTAAAAATTTGAAGTCCTTTAACTTAGACCATCTCCAACCGAATACTCCATACTCAAACTCATTTTGCAGTAACTATCTCATTTTGCAGTAATTCATCTCCAACCGAAAAACTCATTCTCCAACTCAAAAGAATATTCTCGAAATATTCTCTTTTACATCAACTTTTACAACTTTTAAATACTACCCACATATTTTACAATTTTACAAATTAAACCACACTATTATTTTCAATTCAATTTGGACTTTATGTAATAAACTAAGGCCATCTCCAGCCCTTATATCTGCTCTAGCGCGGACTTTACTCTACTCTAGAGTAGAGTTGAACATTCATCTCCAGCCCTTATCTCTACATTTTACTCTACATTATATATATTGTTTTTTTATTTATTTTAAAAATAAATTGTAATAAATTGAATTTCTTAAAGAAGATACATATACATCTATGTACCGATTCAAAACTGTTACTTTTGAAAATATATGAATTAGTGCAAATTTACACACTAGACCATATATGGTTTAGACCATATATGAATTAGTGCAAATTTACACACTAGACCATATATGGTTTAGAGCATAAAAAAACAAAAAATTATTTATAGTCATATTATTTGTCAAACTATTTATCACATATTAATATATTACACATTTTGCTCTATCATAAATAATTTTTCAGTATTTTTAAAAAAATATCAACTTTATGCCTACACAAAATATTTATATATATATAAATATATATATTTTGTTCATTATTTTTTATACATTTATATTAAAATTTTATATAAAAAATTTCATTAATGAATTTTTACATACTTATATTATAATTTTATATAGAAAAATAACAACTTATAGACAAACCATAAATTTTGATAAATAAACTAAAACTTCATTTTTGAAAATAGAAGGGCCAAAACACAAATAAAAAAAGATTTGTGTATGTGAACAGTACAAACACAAATATGCAGTTTGGAGGAGAGAGAAACGGATCAAAACTCATTTTGGGTTTGCGTTTCGGTACCGGTTGGAGGATTTTTTGGTGATGCGTTTGGGTTTGAGGTATGATTAGAGTTGCTCTTAGGAGTTGCTCTTTTCTTAATAAGGCAAAAAGAAAAAGAAAAAGAAAAAACACATATTTGGTTGTGGCAGTTGTGAATTAGGAATTGAACTTTTGGTCTGACCAAACGTTTATTAATGTCCGTGTAATTAAAAAATGATCAGCATGCGAATACCACCAAATATGTGACTACATTTTATTCTGTTATGGCTTTTTGCGTGATCTAATAGCTACCGAAAAGTTGATAAACTCCAAATCTCTCGAAAGGGTCATACTCATATGCCATCGAAATAAGATAATAGAGTTAGTGACCAAGATCAAGTAAACCTTTAATTGACTTGCAAACTGCAACTTGCACCGTTGACCTATCTTCTCTTTTCTATTTCTTGAATAAAATATGGGTTGACTTTATAAAGTTCAAACATTTTTCAGCCCTTGTTAATGGTGGTGGTCATGTACGTACGTTCACACTGATTATAGCCTCATTGTGAACCCAAAATGGGTTGACTTCTTTTATTAGCCAACTCCAAACTCCATCAATAGGAAATGGCCATACCGTGATTAGTTCCTGCCACAAGCCCTTCTAGAAACCTAATCCGTAATGCGTTTGGATACAAAATATTTTAGCTTTGGCTGATTTTTTTTTTTTTTTTTTTTTTTTANCGAGAACTGATTTTGTAAATATTGGTTGAGTTAAATTTAAGTAGGATTTTGACTTGGTATTAAAATAATATTTATAATAAAATAATTAAGTGGTTAAAACTATGTGATTGAATAAACAATAAATTAAAATTGATGTGATGTGTGAGTATGATGATTGGTATAACTAGTGCAGAGCCCGTGCGATGCACATGGTGCACAATTTTAAGGCTATTTATCCAGGCTTATAACTATATACATGAATAAAGAAAAATGTACGGAATATATATAGTACGTGACCCGTGCGAGGCACGGAATATATTTATCTGGGGAATATTATATTATAAGATGCAATATTAAATAAAATTTTATAATACATAGGAAAATTGTACAATAAGATAGTATTGGACAAATAAACAATCATATATTGGTAGAGTAGAATCAAAATCTGTTAAAATTTTTAAGAAAAAATCTTGATATACGGAAATCACATTATATGTAGAGGAACAAATCAGATTAGATTTTCTATACAATTAGATAAGATTTTTGGTACAAAGATAAGAAGTAATTTTAAATCTACACAAACTATAAATATTAGATGTATTGATTTACGTAAATCAATATCTATATAGACAACCAAACCCTTCAATTTAAGTTTGACATCTGATTTATTTTTAGTAAAATCAAGATTTTATCTTCCGATCAAATCTGTCTTTTTTTTTTGTTTTACGTACATTTTTTTTGTACCAATTTTATGGGAAAAAACAATTAAATAAAAATTAATTGATGGAAATAGAATGCATTAATTACTATTGACTTTTCTTCCTACTAATTCTAGTAAATAAGATGATTCTTTATATAAATATAGATTTGTTTTACGTACATTTTTTTTGTAACAATTTTATGGGAAAAACAATTAAATAAAAATTAATTGATGGAATAGAATGCATTAATTACTTTTAACTTTTCTTCCTACTAATTCTAGTAAATATGACGATTCTTTATATAAATATGAATTTAACTATATTGATAATATTGAAGAGAGTTGAATAGAGTTAAATCTATTATCACCCTAATCAAGTTCTCTCCGGAAACCTAATCCCCAAAATCCATCCGCCCTTTTCTCTCGCAATCGCTCCGTCGATAGGCCTTCCCCAGTGACGTCTATCTCGGCCAATGGTCGTCTTCAATTGCTCGCTCCACTCATGACTGGCGTATCTCCGGTGTTGCTGTGGATTGTCGGAGATGGGGGATCGGATTTCGGGTGCAGATGGTGGGCCGACCTATGGTGCGTTTCCTGGTCGGAGGTTGGCCGGCGTTTCAATCGCCGGCAGATCCTTGGTTGGAAATCGTCGCCCTCGCGCATTACCTCTGATCTGCAAACTGAGGGCCCCTCTCGAATGTCGTCGCCTTTTCCGGTGGAGCTTCGAGTGGAGGTTGACTTCCGGGTGCCAGCGGTTTATGGTGGTAAGGTGAGATGTGTGGGTCGGATGTGGTGGTGTGGGACTTTGGCAGCGGCGTGGTGGGGCGGGCCTTTGGCTGTGTCCTTCGTCGGGTTGCCGGAGTTGAGGGAAGTCGACTCTCTTTTCCTCCTCTGTCATCTAGTGGTGTTAGGCGGCAGGGATATGGCTTTTCCGAGCTCGGCTAGTGGTGGTAGACGGGTTCGTGTGGGGCTGTGGGGAGGGTTGTTTCTCTTGGTTGGAGACGGGCCGATTCGGGAATATTTCGGGGATTGAGTTCACCTGCTGTATAGGCGTTCGTGCAGCTTCGGTAGCGGTTCTCGGGCTCGAGGTTTTCGTTGTGTCGGTCGTTCACTGCTGGTTGAGCTTAGTTCAGATCACTGGGGAAGGGCTCCGTTGTAGTTCTTGTTGTTGATTAGGTTGTTTTTTTTTTTTTTTTGTCTTTGTGTCTGTGTTATTTGTGTTGATGTGGTTTATGTGTTTTTGGTTTGGGCTGTTGGCCCCGGTTCAGCCTGAGTGTAGCCTTTATTCTCCTGTTGGGAGCTTACACTCAGGTATTACCCTGTTGGGGTTCGTTATGTTTCGTTTTGTTGTTTTTCTAGGTTCAGTTGGTGTCGTAGTGTGCTCGNGAGTTAAATCTGAAATTTAATAAAAAAAAATTGGTGAAAATTGATTAGATAAAACTGATATCCAAGCACCGGCTTAAAATTTACTTATCCCATCTTGTAACATCTTTCTCAATTTAAATTACTTTTTCTCTTTAAGGAATGATATCTAAAATATTTCAGTTCAACTATGTTTTGGCCCGGACTCAGAAGTATTAAACAATTAAACTAATTTGAGGTTCAGCTACGAATTCTATATGAATAATATCTTATTTTTTTCCTGGTTCCAAAGAAGAATATTATGGTGAAACCTGTTTTGGGTAGCATGTTAAATAATCCATTATGAATAAGAGATAAATTTTCACAATTTCTCAATCTCTACATATTCCATGATATTTTTGGTAATTTCGTGTCAAACTTAAGCATCAAAGTATCTACAATTGAAGCCTTTCTCGATATTATTTTCAGATTGATCATTATGTCCAAGGCAAGACGATTTTCGATTGAAGAACTTGGTGAGCCGATCGATATTCCCTAATCCCTATACATCACTTGATACAGTGAAAAAGGGTACACCAAATTATAGAGCATGAATTTGAAGCAAGGGACCAAGCTGTAATTTTCATTTCCGTGTTTCGAATAAATTTGTATGGTATTTACTGAAAACTTAAAAGCAACCTGCTAGCATTGAAATTTTATTTACAGGGTATCATATTATTCATAATAACTGAAAGATGCAATTACTGGCATAAATTAAGCTGAGATATAGGTGGCTCGTAAAGTCTTCAATCACTAAATGTAGTTGACGACAGGCTGTATGTATGCAATTCCATGTGTTTAGTGTACGAATATGTGACCGAAAGCATTGGGCTCACAATTAATTATTTTATTGGGCTAGACCTTTAATTAATAGTCAAACAAATCTAAGCTATTAATCTGGATATTTGATGGAGCGTACCAGATCTAAAGCACTCCTATATAAATTAGTCTTCTTTCCTCCTATTAGGGTATGCAGTCTTTATCCCATCACTTTTTCTAGAGAAGGTCAGGAGGGAGAAACTGATTTAGATCTACCAATCGATTCAACCTCGTGTGATCATCAAGATCAAGATCACAAATTATGTCAACCTCGTGTGATCATCAAGATCAAGATCACAAATTATGTCGTCTTCCCCATCAAGTAAATGTTTCGTATACACCAAATTATTTATTCAAGATCCATGATAAAATTTACATGTAGTATCAGAGCATGTGTTGTGAATGAATAATTTGTTGTAAATTATGATTTATTGATATAACTGGCCGAAAAGTTGTTTTGTTCAGAAAATTTATTCGGTGAAGATTTCTTTCTTTTGGTCGCATCAATTATTCTATGATGACTGCGTCTGCTATTTATGTTGATGGCGTATTATGCTTCTAAAAATATAATTTCATGGCCACAGTATGCTATATTGAAATTCATGTGAAAGTCCATTTTGAATGGTCCTCTGATTCGTAGTGGCAGAATGAGATTTATTTTCCTTTTCATTGATTTTGAAAACCACGTATGATTGGAATGATTGGATTATGTCCTGGTTGATGAAATTCCATGGCAATCACTCCCTACATGAATTTTGAATGTCTTTTGTTTGGTCAGATTGACCGATATCGCAATAAGAGTAAAACATGTGTTTTCCTGGATTAATTGATGCGATTATCTATTATTTGATTAGTCTGCTGGCCTTATGACTGTGTATAACATGAAAGTGGTTATTATGGTGTTATCTATTATATGACATTAAGAAATAATTAATTTGTTAGTCACCAAAGTGGTCTACTTAATTTTATGTCCAGTCATATAATATTATTGTTACAACTATTTATTATATGACATTAAGTAAAAATTAATTTGTTAGTCACCAAAGTGGCCGAATTAATTTTTAATGTTTGGTCATATAACTTATGTTCTCTTGAGAATGTCATTATTCAAGATAATGAGTTTATTGGTTGTTAGAAATTATGGATTTACCCAAAGGTGAATCAATGTTCTATAACTAATAAACATTAAGGAGAAATATAATATCCTTTTGTCGAGCGTATGTAGATATCCAAAGATACTATGTATGTTAGACGAAGTTTATTTAATTTCTCATTAAGTGCTAAATGACATTCGACTTATGATAATGATATATATTGTGTGTTTACCCAAAAGATACCTGCAATATATGTGATGAATGTATTTTCTGAATCTATTAAGTAAGTGAGTGTTTATGATTGTGCAGCTATCTCTCTTCATTCGCAAGCTTCTTCTGTTACTGTCTTCAATGGTTTGAATTTCTCTGCATGGCGTGAGCAAGTCAATTTCCATTTAGGTGTTTTGGACATTGACTTGGCTCTGCTTGAAGAAAAGCCCGCTGACATTACTGATCAAAGCAGTGAGGCTGAGAAATCAAACCGTAAGGCTTGGGACAGGTCTAACAGATTATGTTTGAGCTTTATGCGAATGACAATTGCTAACAACATTAAGTAAACTCTTCCCGATAATGTGGATGCGAAAGCATACCTTTTGCTTATGGAAGAGTGTTTTCGTTCCGCCGATAAGTCATTGGCAGGAACACTTATGGCTGAACTCACGACCAAAAAGTATGATGGGTCGCGTAGTATGCAGCAACATGTTCTTGACATGACTAATCTTGCAGCAAGGCTTAAGTCCTTGGGCATGACTATTGATGACTCATTTTTGGTGCAATTTATGGTTAACTCGTTGCCTCCTGAATATGGGCCATTTCAAATTAACTATAACACTATTAAGGACAAGTGGGATGTTAATGAATTGGCCAGTAAGCTTGTTCAGGAGGAGACGAGGCTTAAGGCACAAGGAGTTTATACGGTCAACCTTGTGGGTCATGGAGCTAATAATGTTCTCAAACCAAAATCCAACAAGTTTAAGAAGAAGGGACCTGCTAAAGTTTCACAGGTCACTAATGATGAAAAGAAGGAAAATCAGGCAAATAAATATTATTTCTGTAAGAAAGAAGGTCACATACAGAAAGATTGCCTGAAACGCAAGTCTTGGTTTGAAAAGAAAGGTATTTCTAATATCTTTGTATGTTTTGATTCAAACTTGTCTGAAGTTCCTTGAAATACATGGTGGTTGGATTCTGGTGCTACAACTCATGTTTCTAATGTGATGCAGGGATTTCTTACAATCCAGAGCATAAACCCAAATGAGAACTTCTTGTTTATGGGGAACCGTATGAAGGCCCCAATTGAAGGCATAGGGACTTATCGTATTGTTTTAGATTCCGGGCACCACTTGGATCTTTTGCAAACTCTCTATGTACCTTCATCTTCTAGAAACTTAATGTCTCTTTCTAGACTTGATGTTCTTGGGTTTTCCTTTAAGTTTGGACATGGATGTTTCAGTTTGTTTGATAAACATTGGTCTTGGAATTTTTATGGATGGTTTATATAAACTAAAACTTGATGTTGATTTTTCTGCATCTTTAATGTGTGTTCATCAAAACATTAGAATTAAACGTGGTGTAGCAAATGAGAACTCTGCTTTCTTGTGGCATAAACGTTTGGGTCATGTATCCAAAGAAAGAATGCAAAGGTTGGTGAAAGATGAGATTCATTTGGATCTAGATTTTACCAATCTTGGGTTGTGTGTGGATTGCATTAAGGGAAAGCAAACCAAACATAACAAGAAAGGAGCCACAAGAAGCAGTCAGCTTCTTGAAATTATACACACTGATATATGTGGACCTTTTGATGCTCCATCCTTCAATGGAGAAAAGTACTTCATTACCTTTATAGACGATTTTTCACGTTATAGTTATGTCTATCTGCTAAAGGAAAAATCTCAAGCTGCAAATGCACTTGAGGTTTTCATTAATGAAGTTGAAAGGCAGTTAGACAGAAAGGTAAAAATAGTAAGGTCTGATAGAGGTAGTGAATACTATGGAAGGTATGATGAATCGGGACAAAATCCCGGTCCATTTGCAAAATCCTCGAAAGACATGGCATATGTGCACAGTATACTATGCCAGGCACACCTCAACAAAACGGTGTAGCGGAAAGGCGAAATAGAACATTAATTGATATGGTTAGGAGTATGATAAGTAATACATCATTACCCAAATCTTTGTGGATGTATGCACTTAAGACTGCTGTGTATCTGCTAAATAGAGTTCCTAGTAAGTCAGTTCCTAAAACTCCTTTTGAGTTATGGACTGGAAGAAAACCTAGTTTGAGACACCTGCATGTTTGGGGTTGTCCAGCAGAAGCACGAGTATACAACCCACATGAAATGAAATTGGATTCTCGAACTGTGAGTGGTTACTTTATTGGTTACCCAGAGATGTCCAAAGGGTATATGTTTTACTGTCCTAACCATAGTTCTAGAATCGTTGAAACGGGCAATGCTAGGTTTATTGAAAATGGTGAAGTTAGTGGGAGTGCTAAAGTAACTGTGAGAATTAATGAAATAAGGGTTGATGTTCCATTACCCATTAATGTTCCAATATCCACAGTTGTTCCAAATATTGTTCCACAACCTCAAGAACAAAATAATGGTGGACAAAATTTGGATGATGTTGTACCCCATGAAGAGACTAACTTCCCACCAACTAACATAAATGAACCACGTGGAATAGCATTAAGCAAACCTACAAGGGTGAGAAGGTCTGCTATTTCGGATGATTATGTGGTTTATTTGCAAGAGTTGGATTATGATACTAGCATTGATGAAGATCCTGGTTCGTTTTCACAAGCCATTAACAGTGACGAGTCTTATAAATGGATTGATGCTATGAAGGAAGAGTTAAACTCTATGGCTAAAAACAATGTTTGGGATCCAGTAGAATTGCCAGAAAGTTCAAAACGAGTTGGGTGTAAATGGGTCTTTAAGACCAAACGCGACTCGAGTGGCAATATCGAACGACATAAAGCTAGACTTGTTGCCAAGGGTTATACTCAGAAAGATGACACTGATTATAAGGAGACTTTTTCACCTGTTTCTAGAAAGATTCTTTAAGGATCATTATGGCTTTAGTAACTCAGTATGATTTAGAGTTACATCAAATGGATGTGAAAACAGCCTTTCTTAATAGGGACTTAGATGAGAAAGTTTATATGGATCAACCCGAAGGGTTTTCCATAGGAGGAAAGGGTCACATGGTGTGTTAAGAAGTCAATATATGGACTTAAACAAGCTTCCAGACAATGGTATATTAAGTTTAATGATACCATCACGTCTTTTGGTTTTCAAGAAAACACTGTTGATCGGTGTATTTACCAGAAGATCAGTGGGAGTAAGTTTATATTTTTGGTTCTATATGTTGACGATATCCTACTTGCTGCTAATGATTTGGAATTTTGCATGAGACTAAAGATTTTCTCTCAAAGAATTTAGAAATGAAAGATATGGGAGAGGCATCCTATGTGATTGGAATTTCTATATTCCGGGATAGATCACAAGGAATGTTGGGATTGTCTCAGAAAGCTTATATCGAGAAAATTCTTGAGAGATTTAGTATGAACAATTGTTCACCAAGTGTTGTCCCATTACAGAAAGGGGATAAGTTTAGTCTTATGCAATGCCCTAAGAATGATGTGGAACGAAAGAGTATGGAATCTATTCCATATGCTTCTGTTGTGGGCAGTTTGATGTACTTGCAAACTTGCACGAGGCCTGATATTAGCTTCACTGTGGGAATGCTTGGCCGATATCAAAGTAATCCTGGATTGGATCACTGGAAAGCTGCAGAAAGTGATGAGATACCTTCAAGGGACGAAGGATCATATGCTCACGTTTAGGAAATCTGATCGCCTTGAGGTTCTTGGATATTCAGATTCAGATTTTGCTGGGTGCCTTGACAGTCGCAAGTCAACGTTTGGCTATGTGTTTCTCCTCGCCGAAGGAGCAATATCATGGAAAAGTGCCAAACAGTCTGTCATGGCTGCATCTACTATGGAGGCTGAATTTGTAGCTTGTTTTGAGGCTACAATTCACGCATTATGGCTGCGGAACATTATTTCGGGACTTAGGGTTGTCGACACCATTACCAAGCCGTTGAAACTGTATTGTGATAATTCCGCAGCAGTTTTCTTCTCCAAGAACGACAAATATTCCAAAGGTGCAAAACACATGGAATTAAAGTATTTTGTCATTAAGGAGGAAGTTCAGAAACAAGAGTGTGCATTGAACATATAAGTACGGACCTTATGATTGCCGATCCGTTAACTAAAGGTCTACAACCAAAGACATTTAAAGAACATGTACATAGAATGGGTCTTGGTTGTATTGATGATTGATTATGATGATGTTATGGCACACTCTTGAGCTCATTGATGTTATGTTTCTGACTATTATCGAATTTCTTGTTCATTATGATTTTTGTATACATTATGTTTAGAACAAGAAAAGAATGTCTTCATGACAATTAAGTGGACATTATGATATTTATATATAATTATGAAACTTGATGTGTTGAACTGTTAGTGTAGTAGTATATGGAAGGAAGTATGCGAATCGAGAGTGTACAACCGCCATAACTCTCACTATATGGTTTATCATGTCATAGTTTATTATGATGTATGGCATAATGAGATTTGTTTATGCGCACTTAATGTTATACTATTAAATTATGGGCTTTCGGACCAAGTGGGAGAATGTAAGAATATGTGACCCGAAAGCATTGGGCTCACAATTAATTATCATATTGGGCTAGACCTTTAATTAATAGTCAAACAAATTTAAGTCATTAATCTGGATATTTGATGGACATACCAGATCTAAAGCACTCCTATATAAATTAGTCCTCTCTCCTCCTATTAGGGTATGCAGTCTTTATCCCATCACTTTTTCTGCTATGTTAAAAGAAGGTTAGGAGGGAGAAACTGATTTAGATCTACCAATTGATTCAACCTCGTGTGATCATCAAGATCAAGATCACAAATTATGTCGTCTTCCGCATCAAGTAAGTGTTTCGTATACACCAAATTATTTATTCAAAATCCACGATAAAATTTACATCTAGTGTTTACACTCTAAATTGTTTGTTGTGAAATGAGTCAAATAAACAGTTATTTTAATGTCATACCAAATAGTTTCTAGATAGTACTAAATTTGTTGTTCGCCACAGTCACGACTCACAACCTTGGTACGAAACATAAAGTTAGAGAAAATTGCGGGGTAAATTTGAGTTTAAAAAAAAAAATATTCAGCATCAAAATATAAAAGAAAATTGGTAAATAGACGGAAATGGCTTTTCGTTCTTGATGAAAAAACAATTCCATTAAAATGGTTATCTGCAATTCTGGATACAGAACATTCGTTCACACTCTGGTTGTGTGTAACTGGAAAAAATGGAGTATTCACAATATTTTCTGGAAAACAATAATAAAAATAATCCATCTCAAAATCCTCCGTCATCTGAATTTCCCTACCCAAATCTTGAGAATTTTGGAATAAATCTTGGGAATTTTGAACTTCTTCCCTCACCGTGATCCAATCTTCACCTTGGGCCCAGCCCGGAAAATCATCTCCCACCAAAGCCCGAACCCTCTCCCTTGGAGAATCCGAATTCGATTCAACTTCACCGGGACTTTCCCCAAAAGAATCCCAAATCCCCCGATCAATTATCACACTAGTCGGCGATTTTCTTATCAGGCCAATCTCTTCCTCCTCGCCGGAATCAAAAAACGGGTGCTGCAAAAGCTGAGCCGCCGACCACCTCTCTCTCGGATCCCTCATCAAACACCTAGCGAGCATGTCCCTGGCCGCATCGGAAAATCCGCCGGGCACCACCGGCGAGTCGTCCGAGAACGCGATCCTGTAAAGCGCCGCCGCGGGGTCCTTCATCTCCGGCCAGGGACCGGATCCGGTGCCCATCTCGACGACCGTGCATCCGAAGGCCCACACGTCCGCCGCGAAGCCCTGCTCCTCGCCGCGGGCGACCTCCGGCGCCATGTACGCCGGCGTGCCGGAGAACGACCCGGGGCCGGGGCCGACCCGCCTCGCGCACCCGAAGTCGGCGATTTTGAGCCCGCCGCCGTCGCCGAAGAGGATGTTCTGGCCCTTGATGTCGCAGTGGGCGAGCCCCTCCCGGTGGAGGTAGCACAGCCCCAGCAGGATATGGCGCGCGTGGGCGCGAATCGCGGTCTCCGCGAGGGCCCCACCGCGTTTTCTGATGTGATCGGAGAGCGTGCCGCCGGGGACGTACTCAAGGAAGAGATTGAACACGCGCTTGCCGTTTTCGCGCGTTTTGTCGGAGCCCAAGCACTTGACGATGTAAGGGGAGCAGAGGTGGGAAAGCAGAGCCTCCTCTTTCTGTAAGGAGGCGGATGTTGAGAGATTGGCGGACTTGACGGCGAAGATTTGGCCGTCGGCGGCGGTGGCTAGGGAGACCACGGCGGAGGAGCCCCGGCCGATTGTGGGACCCCTTGTCCACGACATTTGAAGGGAGTTTGTGAAAGTTCTTNGTTGATAGGTGATTTCTAAGAAGCAAATAATTTCTAATTATTATTAAAAAATATTGTTAAAGGTAATTTTATTAGATAATTTAATTTCTTATTTTCAAAAATATTCTTTTTATGTCTTATTTTTTGTTTAAATATAATCTATATATCTATATATAATAAGAATTACCATTTACCAAAAATAGGAACTAAAAAATCCAGGATCACTAATTAGAGTAGTTTATTTATTTAAAAAAAATAAGTAGAGAAAAATAAAAAAAAAACGAGTGGAAAAAAAATAAAAAGGACGTATTTACATAATACGTTTTTCGTTTAAAAATGTACTTGATAAATTCGGTTTTATATGTAAAACGTATTTCATAAATTCGTTTTCCTAATAAATAATTTATTAAGATAATAAATGTAATTAAGTTAATTAAATTAATTAAAAACGTATAATTTCAATACGTTTTACAATTAAAATTAATTTTTAATTATAAAGTGGATTATTTATATACGTTTTAAAATAAATTAATTTTTATAATTAAAATTAATTTTAAAACGGATTATTTATATACGTTTTTAAAATAAAATTTTTAAAATGGATTATTTATATACGTTTTTAAAATAAAATTAATTTTCAAATTATAAAGAAAAATTCTGTAGAAAATAAATTTTGGAAATATAAAACGTATTTTTCAAATACGTTTTTTGTGTATTTTGCCCTAATTTTGCCCTAATACTTCATAGAACGGATTCCTAGAATACGTTTTTCTCTGTAGAAAAATGCAAAATATTTTTTTGAATCGATTTCACAACTTGTTCAAGCAACTAATATGAATCAATTCGCCCAAAATAATCCAACATACACTATATACAAAAAATCAACCACAATAATTTATTCAAAACACAAATATCAATATACAGAATGAAAAAGCTGCAAAAGCTGTACGTCTTGATCGTATCGATGTCGTGCAAAAGCTGCAACCAGTAGAGGTTCACTCCATTGCCCCTCTAGTCAGGGAAGAAGAAGGAACCGATGCACCAGAGTATAAGGGCCTTCGCCCTCGCCTCGTAGGTGAAGCAATGCTCTCCAACGGCTAGCTCTCTGTTGCACTCCTCTTCTAACGCATAGGTCTTCAAATACTGGTCTGTAATGGCCCAAATCTTGGGGTCTTGAACCGGTTCGTCGGCCTTCTGAGAGTGGTTTATATATATTAAAAATGAATGGAGTAAACATAAATAAATTAAAAAAAATAAAATTGTAAGAAAAAATTTACCTGAACATAAGGCTCGAACCCTAGGTAATCATTACAAATTTCTTTAAGGGGTGTGTTATCTTGAGTCGCTCCCCAACAAGGCTCTCCATCGATCGGGAGACCAAAAAAAACTTGTATGTCCTGTTGCGTGATGGTGGCCTCCCCGAAGTCAAAGTGGAAGGTATGCGTCTCCGGTCGCCACCTTTCCACCAGACACGTGACGAGGCTGTTGTCGGTCATAACTCTGCCCATTCGAAACAGCGAGCCAAACCCCGTCCTCTCGATGGCATCCCAAACTCTGGGATGCTGGTGATCCAACGCCTTCCAGAACTGAGTGTCGAAATGGCGTCTATATCTTCGAATAGTGCGCTCAACCGGTGGCAGTACTGAAGATATAGAACGGACGGATCCCTCGGATCGGGATGTACATTGAAGCGCTGCGGTTGTGAGGACGATGAAGATGCCATTTTCTGCCAAAAAAGAAAAACAATCATTATAATATACTACATACTAAAAAAAAAACAATAATTAATCAAATTACAATAATACAATCATATTCACAAAAAAAAAAATCAACAAAACACAAATAAATGAAATAAACAATAAATTCACAAATTCAAAAATCATATACACAATAATTCGAAAATAATCTCTAATCGACAATTCGACTCCAACAATTCAACTTCCGACAAAATAATCCCTAAACATATCATATAAATTCACAACTAAATTCACCTCATCACAAATTCACAATATGTCGACAATATCTACAACAATCCCTTTGAGGCATTTTATCGAACACCTTCAAATCATATATTTCTAAACAAACTACAAAACCCTAATCAATTTCCAAATAACCCATCAATTTATCAAACAAACATACATAATCAAACAATCCATCAACATATTTCAATTCATAACTCAATCTAATTAAAAACCTTAAGTTTAGCCCTAATTCGAAATTATTGAAATAATTGAAAAATGAAAGAGTAATAGAAGAAACGTACCTAATAGACGGGAAGGAGGCGCGGTGGCAGTGGAGAGGCAAGCAGCGGCGGGTGGTGGAGCGGCGGCGGGGCGGCGGGCGACGAAATTTTTTTTTTCTTCCGAGCTCACAGTCTCTCAATCTTCTCTGTATCTCTCTGTTGTGCTTGTTCGCGTAAGGGGAGAAGAGAACGAGGTGTTGTTTTATATTTATTTGTAAAACGGATTCCATGAATCCGTTTTATGCTTTTTATTATTTAAAAAACGGATTCATGGAATCCATTTTATTCTTTTTATTATTTGAAAAACGGATTTGTTAAATCCGTTTTATAAATGTAAAAAAATGGTAAGAGGTTCCCAGATTCGGGACTCGAACCCGAGTTCGAGTGAGTCCGTTATCTCTGGGGGCAACTCGTTACCATTAGGCAGGGCTTGGCTATCGCTGAAAGTTTTGCGCAAATTTTGTTTTTATCCTTCAACATCAAGATTTTTTATAGTGTATAGTATTTTTAATATATTGTATATACATATATATTATATAGTATATAGTATATAACATATAACATATAGTATATAGTATATAGTATATAGTATATAGTATATAGTATATAACATATAGTATATAGTATATAGTATATAGTAGTATATAGTATATAACATATAGTATATAGTATATAGTATATAGTATATAGTTTATAACATATAACATATAGTATATAACATATACTATATACTATATAACATATACTATAACATATAACATATATGTTATATGTTATATACTATATACTATATACTATATACTATATGTTATATACTATATGTTATATGTTGTATACTATATACTATATGTTATATACTATATACTATATACTATATACTATATGTTATATGTTATATACTATATACTATATGTTATATGTTATATACTATATACTATATAACATATATCATATATTAAATTATAATATATATGTATATACAATATATTAAAAATACTATATACTATAAATAATCTTGATGTTGAATGATAAGAACAAAATTTGCGCAAAACTTTTAGCGATAGCCTAGCGCGGCCTAATGGTAACGAGGTGCCCCAGAGATAACAGACTCACTCGAACCCGGGTTCGAGTCCCGAATCTGGGAACCTCTTACCATTTTTTTACATTTATAAAATGGATTTAACAAATCCGTTTTTCGAATAATAAAAAGAATAAAACGGATTCCATGAATCCATTTTTCAAATAATAAAAAGCATAAAACGGATTCATGGAATCCGTTTTACATAAATATAACCAACAACAATTGTTTTCAAATAAATATAATTTATTTTTTAAAAAAAATATTAAACAAATACATTTTCTACTGGGGATAAAAAAAAATACAAGTTTTTTCTATTGTAACACCCAAAAAACCTGTTCTAACAATCCAAAACAACAAAACAAATCGAAATACACAATCTAAACCAAATACCATCAAAACCAAAATTACAGTAAAGACCATCCAAACAATTCCAAACAAATCATCCAAACAAATTCAAATAATCCAACCAAATCCAAATGAACTCTCCAAACAAATCCGAATAAACACTAAAAAATCTAGTTTTCCAACTCATCACGAAGTGTAGACCTGTCGGTGCAAGGATGTAAGGACGGACACTCGTCCACAACATGATTTGGATCACCGCATCTAGTGCACTGTCCCCTATCCCTCCTGCGACGTGCCCGACGATCCATTTGCATGCGATATCGTCTCGTTTGCATGCGACCGGGTCCAGGCTTCAAGATCATCCTCTCCCAGTGTAGTATCAATTTCCACTCGACCGGCGCCCATGTATCCGGATTACCAATTGGAGCAAAACTCCAATTACTAAATTGAGCTACCCAGTTCTCCGTCCAAAAATACTCATTGTACAACAGTTTTGGGTCAGTCCCAACTGAACGACATACTGCTATCGCATGAGAGCATGGTTTCCTATGCGTGTGCCACTTCCGACAACTACAACGTTTTCGGTTGTAATCTACTTTATACCTGTAATAATTCCCCAGTGATTTATATATATACAATATGAAAAAATTGAATGGACAAAGAAAAAAAAAACATATACTTACTTGTTTTGCCCTCTTCCACTAGCCCGTAAACCGGTTTCCACTTCGTACATAGAGCTGTCGGCGTCCCTAACTCTCACACTATGAGTGGCGGCAAGCTACTATGAAGAATCTCAGTTCCTATCCCCTATGATATGAAGAGTTCTAATAGGTGAATGCCCGAGTCAGGAAAGGAAAAAAAAAGGAGAAGCAAGCTCTTCTTCTTCTTTGCCTGACTCGGACCATGAAGCCGTCAGCCTAGAAGGAACTGGTCACATTTTTTGACCAACTCGGCTGTTTTCTCCAATTGCAAATATGCGTTAAAGTGCTCCCTAGCAATGGGACTCCCGCATCTCGTGGAATTGTTTTGTTCCTATTGAAACAAATCCAGAGTTTTATGAAATGTGGCGTCTACCAAAGCTCTGCACAGCAGGAACCTAACCCCTTTCAGGACGTTGTTGTAACTCTCCGATATATTCGTTGTCAATGTGCCCCATCTGCGTCCTTGATCTTTAAATAGGATCCACTTGTTCAAAGGAATTCGAAAAAGGTAATTGTGTGCTTCGGGACTCAATGCCAACAGTCGCTGTTCTGTCCCTCGAAACTTTCGCTCCGACAACTGCGAACCCAATTCCCAACACCAAGTCCGAATTTTCTTACTCCTGAAC